CGCCGCGCGTCCGGGCTTCCCTTTGCTCACCTGGTTCCCGACCCCGGGGTCCGCGCCCTGCCGTGTAGTCCTGCTGCGTGGGCGCAGGTGGCTGGGATTTCTGGAATGTCCCCCTGGTGCGAGGTGTGAACACTCTCGAGGCCTAGACGCTCTCGACCATCGTCAGTCCGGCGGGCACGGGGAGCAGAGGCGTCTTCTGCACGCGGCCTCCTCGCCAGCCGGCAGGCGGGTGTGGGGCTGCTGTGCCCACCGGAGCACGAACATCTTCGGTGATGGACGCCCAGAAAGAGTGCGGAGGTCGAGCCCCGACGGCGTTTGCTCGTCTCCAAAGCGCGGGGAGAAGCGAACTGCCCGCGGGGAGGCCCTTCCTCCGCACCTCCCTGCCTCCTCTGCCAACGAGGCAAGGAGGACCCGGGCGGAGCGGATCCGAGCCGGACCGCTCTGAACCGTGCAAAGCGGACCGACCGCATCTTGGTTTCCCTGTCCTCAAAGTGGGGGCGATAACGGGCCCTGCCTGGAGCGGGCACCGCGTGCGCAGGGAGCGTCCTTAGCGTCACCATCGCGACTGTGGGACACCAGGTTCTCGGCAGGAGGGGAAATTCGTTTTTATCCCTCTAATTCTTAGACTGCGGTCCAGGGGAAAGTGCGTTCTTTACAAGATTACTATGAGACCGTGTCTTCCTGGAGGCAAGCGGTGAGAGTGTCTGGAACCCCACTGGGTTAATCTTCCTTGAGCTGTGGCCTCTCGCACACTCCCTGAGCGGGATGCATTTCTGCGCCAGTGGACACCGCCCTCGTGGCGGGTTCCACGTCCGCGTAATGTCTGTGTGGCTATTTACTTGTCATTTTTACTTTTTTATGCTTTATTTCTTGGTACTGGGGATCAAACTCAGGACCTTGGGCTTGCGAGGCAGGTGCGGCGACACTGAGCTAAATCCCTGGTCCCAGCATTTTTATTTTAAATGAACCCATTTTCTAAAACCTTTCCAGAAGTGCCTTTATTTTGCTGTTATTGTTCTGGAGACTGAATGCAGGCTTCTCAATGATCCACATCCCAGCCCTCGTTTGCGCTGATACAGTCTCGGTCACTGTCTCCAGGGTGGGGTTCAGTTGTGACCCCACTGGCAGACCTCCTGGGCGCTGGGGTACAGGCTGCACCGCCGTGCCTGGCTCGGGGGATTTTTGAAGGACTTACTATATCACTGTCACACGTGAAGGGCGGTTTTCTATACCGCAGCCTAAAATGGAGATGGCGTCAAGAGGAATGGACCCCACCTAGGTGCGGCCCATGCACAGGCGTCACAGTCCTTGTCCTCTGTCCTCTCTGCAGCAGGACACAGCCCCACCCTGGCCGGAGCCTCAGGACACGTCAAGGCGTGGGCCCAGACTGCCGCCCACGGCCTTCTCCTTTTGCCGACTGCACTCGGTATTTTTCGGTGTGGTGACACAGCTCTGAGCGCCTGCCTGAGGAGTCCTGTGGGTCTCCGCAGCGAATCTTCCAAGCTGGGGCTGCTCTTAGGGACCTCAACGCCGCCCTCACATCCTGGGCCGTGATCTGCGAGCACCCGACTGCTGTGACACCGTTTGGATCCATGACTGGCTGGGAAAAGACAGAAATTCGGGGCTGGAGATTCGGTCGCTCCACCCTTCACCGAATATTTATTAAACAGCCTGTAGGTGGCAAATGCCCATCTGGGTGGATACAGTGGATGTCTAAGGCCTACACCTTACCTTCTAATGACAACGGATGACAGACCACGGAGGCAATGAGCGTCAGTGAACATCATTTACGCCCAAAGCCGGGAAGTGTGTGCAACAGGTCAAGGGGAAAGCAGCTGTGAGACCACGTCACATGCGGGTCACAGAAGATGTTTATGAAGAGGTGACATTTTGAGGTGAGATCTGACAATGGGACAGAGGCCGCAGGGCAGGAGCCGGTGACAGAACATCAGGTCAAAGGCGCCAGCAAGGCGGACAGGGCCACCACGGGAAGTGGCCAGGCAGGGAAGTGGCGGTGGGCCGGGAGGCCCGGGGAGCTCGTGACTCCATCGTGTTTGTGCTGAGAAGCAATGACAACTCGCTGAGGAGTGGGGTGACGGCCTCCATGCCACACGGAAAGTCCCGCCAACCGCTGTGCGGGAAGGCGCTGGAGAGGCAGCACGCGAGGCTCGCTTGGGAGGCTCCGCAGCAGACAGCGTGAGGGCGATGGCGATCCAAGGACGTGGCGGCGCGGATGGAAGCAGTGGACAGATTTTGGGTGCACGCGACAGACGGGGCTGAGAGGAAGGGAGGAATCAAGGAGACGGCTCGGGAGGGAGCAACCGGATGTGTGGTAGTGCAGAGACTTGGAACAAGTCCAGCAGGGAGATGGAGCCCCCTTTGGGGCGTTGAATGTTGGGTGCCTGTGCACCGGGAAGGCCTGAGAGATGCGCCGTCCCCATCTGGAAACCCTCGGGCTAGCCCGGGGAGGGTGCTCAGGGAGCAGTTCTTAAGGGCGCATGCGTCCTGCTTGGCCGGCGGCAAAGCTCTGCCCCGCAAAGGGCCGCGGTGAATTAGTGCTGCGCGATCTGTCACGGTGCTGAAAGCCCACGGCCCGAGCCGTGTGCAGAGCGGGAAGGGGGCCGCGGCCTCCGCATCCGCGAGCTAAATCACTGCGTCCTGAGCTGTCCGCATCGCTGAGCCATCGCAGCAGAGCTGTCTTCAGGGCCGAACCGTCGTATCTGGGCTGTCCCTGTCCTGGCGCAGGCAGAGCCGCTCGCTTTTGACATGTGCTGTCCGAGGTGCTGAGTAGCCGCGGCCCGTGAGCTGTCCGTCTTGAGCGTCCCTTGAGCGTCGCCGCCGTGGTGCCCGGGCTGTCCGCGGTGCTGACCCATTTCTGTTCTGCCCGCGGGCCCGCGGGGTGCGAGCTGTCCCCGGTCTTGAATCGTTGCTGCTTACACTATCCGCGGTCCTGGATCTCCACCCAGACAAGGTGGAGAGGACTAAACCCTGGAACGCCCAAAGCGTTCACCGCCTAGGACAAGCCCTGGGGAAAGCCTGGGGTAAAAGCAAATGAGGACAAACTGCACTCACTTTTAAGTGGCAGCTTTGGCTCTTAGAACTGGGCCTGGCTACAACCTAATGAAATGATCAACACAGAGCTCCCAACACAGCCCGAAAGGAGGTGCAAAAGGGAAGGTAGGGCAGAAGTGTCTGGCATCCAAGCTCCTGGCTCTCTTTGGCTGGGTGGGAAGTGCTGTATAAGCACGTGTGAGCTATGTGCAAGGTCCTGGCCTTTCTGCTGTGAGAGTCAGATTCTTTTTTTTTTTTTTTGGTACCAGGGATCAAACTCAGGACCTTGCGCTTACAAGGAAGGTGGAAGAACCACTGAGCTAAATCCCCGGCCCAAAGTCAGATTCTTGAGGGCTCACAGAATTGAGGGAGAGCTGGGTTCCAGCCCTGGGTCCTGGGAAGCTGCTACACTGCCACATATCACTTTCCTACCCTGGAGCAAACAGCCAAGAAATACGTAAGGTAGGAGCGTGACTGTGGCTTGCTGACCTCAGAGTGTGGCATGACGCGTAGGTGTTATGAGCAGAAGTCGTGAGGCATGAGGCAGTCAGCGGGCGTGGGTCACTTCTCAGTGGAGAGAAGACAGCAGGGGCGCTGGGGGGTTGGTTTGGGGCTGCTGGGGTCTGGAATGTAAGCTGTCATGACAGTGGAGGTGGAGGGGTGCAGAGCTGTGAGTAGGGCTGGAAGTCTTTGGGGTGAATGTTGACTGGGGAAATCAGGAGAGCTGGAGGAGGCACATCCCAGTACTCGCCAGGGGAAAGCGAGCAGCCTCCCTTTCCTAAACCAAAATTCTATGTGGAGATCATTTACAAAACCATAAATACAGTCGTGGGCGACTGAAAAGCTAAAAACAGCTCAACATCAGCCAGGTTAAACCTTCCCCAGCACACCCATTCACCAGTCAGGCTATCGAGAAGGGAAAGGTTTGCTGGTGAGCTCAGCTGAGGCTGGAGCATGAACACGGGCCTCCTGCCCACTTCAAGGACAGCTTCTGAGGACACCAGGGCAGAAACTTACCACGCAAACTGCTGGGCCACATGAGTCTGTGCTACTCTTGTTCTCCATAGGTTGTTTGTTTCTTATTTTTTACTATGTTTTGTCTGTGATTATTTCTGATTTCAGTTTAATTCATACATAGGCTGGGCAAGGGGCCACATCCCTGTAATCCCAGCACTCAGGAGGCTGAAGCAGGTGGATCACTGAGAGTTTGAGACCAGGCTGGCCTACACTATTGAGTTCAAGGCCGGCTTAAACTACATAGTAAGGCTCTGTCTCAAAAAACAAAATAAAACAAAGAAAGAATGGAAGAAAAAAATAATAGCAATTCATACTTATTATTAAAACATCAAGCATCAAAAAACAAAAACAGAAAATGTAAGGCTCCTGTAGTCTTATCAGATTTAACAGTTTGGTTTATACTTTTAGGATTTCTCCCATGCACACACTTAAAAATACATATATCACATCTGTACATACATAAACACACACACACATACAAGTGCATGATTGCTTTTTCAAAATGAGGCATCTATCCAAGATAAAG